CATTCTTGAAAAGTACTTTAAAGTGTATAAATAAGTTACCCGGACAATTAATTTACATTAGCCAATCATATGAAAGTTTGACTATGACCACAGACCTGCCATCGTTTCGGCGAGCCGCCGATGCCCAGCAACAGATTTCTCCGCTAAATAAATCAAAGGACAATAAACGATAAGCTCACGAAATTCACTAATCAGCATATGATACACCTTAACTTACACATCCATTTTCAACTCTGTTCTATCGAGAAATCTCCTGGTCAGCATGTTAGGGAAAGAATTATCAAAAGGTGACTCCGAAACCGGCAGATCCACATCACCAAGGTTTTCGGCACTGAGGGTAACATCTTAGCGCTAGTCGGGGAGACGAGTTAAACAAGATTTTGTCACTCACTATGTCATTACGGCGAGTTTCACAGCATTAATATCGCGTTGGTCATCCTCACTAAGTGTGACACCATATTTTTCTTCCATAACCTCTGGCATAATACGATCAATTGCCAATACTATGTTGCGTTGGTCTTTAACAGTCTATACCAATATGCGAATAAATGAGCAGAATATCATCACATAATGGTGAAAACATCATGCTCAAGATACCTGCCTGGTGGACTTCATCAAAAAATTGGCTCATGGCCTTAGATACTTTTGCTCGCGATAGTTTGACATCATGGTTAAATTGATTGACCATCTCTGCTCAATCCTTCGCGGAAAACAGAGCTTTCGTCTCCGAATGTTCCTCGGTAAGATCAACGCATACTCAGTATGGGCAAAGACGACAACATTTGCGTGTAAATAGACTTACTTCGAGCATTTTTGTGAATCCGGAATTTTTTGAACATGATCTGTTAATACTTTTCCGACATCTGTTCCGCTTGGCAGAATCCAGCGTCTGGTATGGACTGAAGGATTTTGAGCCTCCAATCGTTCCACAAATGCGTTATTAGGGTGGTTGTCCTCTGATAATTCAGCACAGACTTTTTCTGCATCGTTCTGGCCATTTCCCTCGTCGCTTTCCCCGTCTGACTCGTTGTTGCCGCTCTTTTTTTCATTCACGTCTTTTGTTCGGTCGTCCAAACGTATGCCCTGTAGTAATGAAATATCTTTAAAAGATGCGGGGCACACACTCTTTCATGGTGAATAACAACATACCCAACTATTAACTCCTGAGTTGAACTTATTCTGAATATTAACATTTGTATCATGGATTGAACGGTGCACTGAAATCTATAAAGAGAGGAGTACAGTTTTAAGTAATCAATAGCTCGCAACTCAAAATTCCTGTGGTGGCTTAACACACCGTCTTCTTTTCTCCTAGCCAAATTTCCCAGTCTCGTTGTGTAGATTCGTCCTGGTTTTATAGAGAACGAGCGAATAGGTATTAGAGATAATGCGACTATATACTTCAAAAAATTTTTGGCTATCATTAATTTTACATATATCATTTTTCACATTTCGGAGCCTCGCATCATCCTTACTCTTTCCTAACGCCTGAGCGAAAGCCACCCTATAATTTTCGATGGCACGTACTCTCTGTGTTGGATGGGTCATTCGAAAAAAGGCGAGAGGTGTTGGATCCGAAGAGCTTAAGATCCAATTGACGTTATAGTCTTGTCGGAACCTGCGCTTGTTGCTCATATTAACTTAGCGTTAGTATATAAAAAAAAAATCGTAAGTATTTGAGCAAAGTAATGTTAAAGGTTGGTTTGGAGAGAGGGTTGCTCTTCATACAAATAGCCGGCCATCCCTTTTGCTGATGACTCGCCATATAACGTGGCTTCCCAGGCCCAACCCTGGCTGTCACTTTGCATGTTCACAAACCCCATAATAATTCTGTATAACGAAGTTTAGCCGGCCATCCCTTTTGCTGATGACTCGCCATATTACGTGGCTTCCCAGGCCCAACCCTGGCTGTCGCTGCCTTCGTCATTTAACAGAACTACCGATATGGTTTACACTTAAAAGAAATATGCTCAACTCACCGCGGATGAGACTCGTGTAATTGAAAAAGTAAAACGCGTTAAAATATTGTATTTTCACAGCCAAACCTAAAAGTCTAAGAGTGTCTGTCAGGATGACACATAATTCACCTATATTCGCAAGGCCGCGCAAATTTTGTTCGAAAGCACGTTTGTGTTTGAGGAAGTTAAAACGATTACACGCGTTTTTTCCTTTAACCCGATAAAATCGATAAAATATCAAAGGCCAGGGCTGCCATAAATAGAACCTTTTGGGATGAACACGGCTCGGGTACGCGAACGCGAAAAGTTTTTATTGATTCAAATGACGTCACACTTCCAAATCTAAGTCTGTGGCAGGGCCGATGATTTTCTGTGATTCACAGAATGTCACAGAATTCACAGAATCCTGTGATAAATATATAAATCTTATTTGTTACAATTTTTCACAGAATGTTGGTACTACATAAATTGAAACAAATAAATATATATTTTAGTATCTTTAGTAAATGGTTTTACAAATATCAATAATTAATGATAATGAATCAAAAAAAGAAAAACTTACAGTATAATTAAGAGCTAATGAATATCCAGATCTTTTTTGAGTTAATAATAGTATTATGTGTTGTATTTCCTGTAATGAATCAATTGATTGGAAAGCTAAATCAATAATAGATGGACATCTTAATAGCAAAAAACATAATACAAATAAAGCTAAACATGAAATTAATAAATAAAATTTATAACAAATTACAATTGCAACTATATTTATAACTGCTGATTCTAAAAAATGAGTTATTGAAGATTTAATTGAAGCATTTTCTATTACAAATATTTCTCTTGAAAAAATAAATCACTTGCTTTCTTTTTTTCAAAAATATTTAAAAGAAGATGATACAATTTCAAAAGCATCTACTTTACATTAAATTTATTTACCTTCTATTTTTGAAAAATATCAATAAAATTTATGTACATTTTTTCATTTTAAATCAGTAACTATTATTATGGATAAAATCATTGATGATTATGCAAGAAGTGTAATAAATACTTCTTTTATATATAGAAATATAATAAAATTAGTTTCTATTAATTTTCTTAAATGAGTTAATAATATAACTATTAGTCAAACTCTTATAATAATTCTTTCATTTTATAATATATTTTTTAATTATTCTTTAATATATATTATATTATGCATATATTATTAATCTTATTGAATAAGTTAATTATTATATTTAATTATTTTTTAAAATAAAATTAAATATTAATATATTTATATTATATAAAGAACTTTATCAGAATTCTCTATATTAAAAAATATTCTTGTCAAAATTAAAAAAACTTTTATTCATATATCTACTAGAAGAAATTATTATTTTACTTACTTAAAAATGTATGAAATTACAAATTTATGCAAAATTTCTTTATCAAATATGACTTGATGAAATAGTTAATTTCAAATAATTTTTTATGTAAAAGATTATATTCAATACTGGTTAATATTTTATCAAGAAAATGAAATGGATCAGAGTAATCAAACTTTACAAAATATTAATTTATATTTACAAAATAATCAACATTATAGTATTATTATTATATACATTAATTTTATTTCAATTTATACTAAAAAATTTGTTCAGAATCTTGATTTTTTTCAACAATCAAACAAATCATTATTTTCTTTGGTGAAGAGCTAACTTGAGCAACTTATAGCATATATTCAAACTAATTATCAAGCATAATATTTTGAATCTGAATTGGAAATACTTATTTGTAATTTTCATTTTAATTCTGAAGATTTTTATTTAATATTTCAATTGGCATTTAAAACAGTTTATAATAAATTCCAGATATATATTTCTTAATATTCTGCATACAAATTATTTCAAGCTTGCTATGTTTTTGATCCTAGTTATATTTATGCTAATAATATATTTAGAAAAGATATATAATATTATACAAATATTCTGAAACTTACAAATCTATCTGATATATTAATTTAAAAATGGGTTATTTATTATGAATTAGAAAATAATAATAGTATTAAAATAGTATTAGATATATATTGGCAAGATTTAAGTATTTAATTACTAATTTTAACTAATATTACTTTAGATTATATTTGACTTCTAATTTCTAGTTATAGTATTAAATGCAATTTTTCATTATATAATTCTCTTTTATTAAGTAACTGATAAAGTTTATCCTAAGAATTATTAAAAAAATTAATTATGATATATTTTAAAATATTTTTTTTTTAATTTTAAATAGTTTTATTTTAAGTTTTTTAAGTTTTTTTACTTTTTTTAAGTTTTTTAAGTTTTTTAACATTTTTTATATTTTTTATAAAATAAATATAATTTTTTTACATCTAGTCAAAAATAAATTACCTGATTTTTTATCCAAAATAACTTTATCAGTATTTTAAAATCTCTTAAAAAATCATAATGATAATGATAATAATAACTAATTCTTTGAATTTTAATTAATTTGTAGAATTTTTTAATCATGTATATTAAAGATAGTACAGCAAGTATGTGATGCTTATTGGTCATCTGTTATAATATATTGCAATTTCAAAATTTTATAAGTCACAACTAGTTGTAACTAGATGATACTTTATTTATTATCACGTTATAATAGTTGAGAAGCCATCTTTAATGTATATCATATACTGATCAAAATCTGCTGGGTTATCATATAGTTTATAGTAGAATAATACAGAATTTACTAAATTTCAATTACAATATAGTACAGAATTTACTTAAATTTGATTACAGTATAGCATAAAATTATGATCTAATCACAGACAGAATTCATATTATATTACAGCAGAAAATTATCAATCCTAATCTGTGACTGTTCTTGAAATTACAATGAATATTGATTTTATCCTTTTTTTTCAGATCATCTTTATCAATGAGTTTACATTATGTTATACAGAATTATTCCTATATAAAAATATCAATATAAAATTAATTTACATCAAGTCTACTATGAAATCAAGAAAATATAGTGCTATCAGAAGTATTTTGAAACAAGAACAAGATGAGAAAATTACTTCTTGTATTTTTAAATTATCTGATATCAAAGCTATTCAAGAATACTTGAATAAAGAGAGAATTATCTATAAAATTTACTAATAATTATACATTAATTCTAATAAATATATAAATATTACTTATCAAGAAGATATTTCTGGATAAAGTCAGAAATTAAATCTTAAGAAGTAAGAATTACCAGAAACTTCTTAAGAACTAAGAAAAATATTAAGAGTAAAAGTATATAAGAATAGTCCTATGTATTCTTTAATATGCTATATAGAAGAAATTTAACAAAATTAGACAAATTATGCTTAAAATATATATAAAATATATATAAAATATATATATAATAGATGATATAATTATGAATAAATATGAAAAAGCTCTTTATTTTCTGAAAGTGAAATGTGATTACAGTTACTTGACTAAGATACTCAAAGAAGAATTTGCTGAATTATGAGAAGACTTTCAAGCACTTTTCAAATCTAAACAAGATATTTTCTTAATAACTCAACTGAGATCCATAGATGAAAAAGTGATTAGTACTAGCTAATATTTCAAGAATAAGACTCATGTTAATAAAAGAATTATTTACTACTGAAATTATAATACTTCAATTTGTTAAAAAATCTATCTTAATATACTAAATATTAACTATAATTACTTTGAAAATATTTAAAGTTATTTATTCAAGAATGATCTTTTACCACAAGTTTATAGTAATATAAAAAAAATATCATAGTGAAAAATTAGGATGATTATTAATATTGATATGGCTATTGCAGTCAGAAATTTTTTGTTAAATTATGCTAAAATTCATGACTTATCCAGCCCAATAAGAAATATTAATTATGTGATCCAATTCATTATTTTTCTATCAGTAAAAATAAGTTACAGATCTATTCATTATGACTTTTTGGCTGACTTAGAAGAAGAAAGTAAATTATATGCTCTCAAGTATAATATATTCTGCAAATTATGACATCAGCTAATTCTATATATTCAAATCATGAGTCTTTGAACTAATTTATGTAATACCTGTTAATACTTACAGAATAACTTGCAATTTAAAGCTTATAAAGAAAAAGAGATTCAGGATTTATTAAAGAAATATAAAAAGCATCTAATCAAAGCCAAACTGAAGAGAAATTATCATAACAAAAATACCAAGTTGGCAAAGAAATAAAAAAAGCTCATTGATTAGAATTATTCTATCAATATAATGAAAGATGAGATACTATATCACAGTATTGATACTACTACTCATTACAATTATGACTAAGCTCAAAATATCTATGTTTTTCATTTTAATTAGCAAATTGGCAAAGTATATTATCTTAATACTTGGAAGATATATTTATTTAGTATCCAAGATGAAGTAGTATGTAAGTAAATTAATTATATTTTTGATGAGAATAAACTTCTTGGAAAGGATCCAAATGATATACTTAGTCTGGTCTTTAATGAAATTAAATAATTAAATAAAGATAAAAAGTATTTAAAAATCATTTATGATAATGCTAACAAATAAAATAAAAATAATATTACTCTTTAATTTTATTTGTATCTGATAATCTATAATTACTATGAAAGAATTAACTTAAACTTTATAATTTCTAGCTATATCAAATTCAAATATGATGATAGCTTCAGACTGATCAAAAGGCTTTATCATAAAATCATGATAGATTATATAAATTATATCATAGATATAATAAAAAGATCTAGTATCACTAGACTAAATAAAGCTTGATATTATAATAGTAATGAAGATTTTTAATATTATAACATCATAAGTAATCTAGAAATCTATTTCAAAAAATTATCTGGTCTGCAAAAGCTTTAACTTTTTTTTTATCTATGCTAATCCTAGGATAATCAAAGCCCAAGAAATCACAAGTGATTCTTTTTAGAAATTCAAATTATTA